AATAACTCCGGTACCAGGGGCTGCTGGTCTAAGCATCACCCTTGCTGCTCCAAAGTCTCCCTCGGATCTGCAATTAAGTTGTTCAGCAATATTAGATCCCTAACAATAACAAGATGATTCTCTCTTTTCGGATTACGATGGTGCCCAAGCCAAGTTGCTTGCATCTCAAGAGTTACATGCTACCTCCAATTAGTACATCTACCAACAAAGATTTAGGCAGATAAAAAGACATCAAACGTTTTGTCTCTGTTGGAATTTGAACCTCGGACTTCGGTTTTCACCAACTTCATGGACTGGCTAGATCACACTCGGGTGCCTATAGCGAAATAATTCCTTCACGATGAGCTGTGTAATTCTATTAACGTTTTCGGAACTACATACTTGTCAAGGCAAATACTACCATAAGATTTCCTCGAGGCAAGATATGGTGGAACCTTTCGACAAATCAGTTTTTTCCTCACTAGGATGACAATCAATTAAGGAGGAACAGAAAATAAATGACTTTATCTATCATATTCAATCCTCTCAAGGCCTACCATTTCGTTCCTCCAGATTTAGCAACAGATGTGCTGGGATAATCAGGACAAGAAACCACAGCTTCAGTACACATCCTAACATATATAGCCAGTCTTCAAAAGTATTAAACATAGCAGTACTGCTAAGTCATTAATATGTTTCTCAATTCCTCAGGAAAAAGGAATTTCCAAAAACAAACACCACCTAAACAAAAGGTAAAAGATTTGAAAGAAAGAAACTCCACAGCCCCCTCCACTCCAACAAAAGAAACTGATAAATGACAATGGCAGCTAACGGCGCGAGCAGGGATTAAAAGTGAGGATAGATCAGATTAATCTCTTTCAGATGCATAAGCTAGAATCTGGAGAATCTCACATATTATAAAAAGGGCAGCCCGGTGCATTAAGCTCCTGCTATGCGCGGGGTCCGGCGAAGGGCCGGACCACAAGGGTTTATTGTACACAGCCTTACCCTACATATTTCTGCAAAAGGTTGTTTTCACAGCTCGAACCCGTGACCTCCTAGCCACATGACAGCAAATTTACCAATTTCGCCAAGGCTCTCCCTTAGACACATGAAATATTGGGTTACATTTAGATTTCTTGTTATCTATTAAATCAATGAAAACAAACACATAGACACAAAGACACAAATTTGTGCATATGTCCATTTGAATTACATAGTCAACAAAATAAGAGGTTCATTACGACACAAATACATTAGATTAAGTTCAGATGCTTAAATAGAACTTATTAAGTATGCCATTCTACAGGCCACGGTGTTGCCTAGTGGGTGAAAACCACGAGAGACCAAGGTTCAAATCCTCTCAAAGACAAAAAAATGCTAGATGATTTCTTTTCATCTGCCTAAACCTTGCTAGTCAGAGTTACCCGGTGCCTATGCTAGTAGGATGTTACAGGTATCCAATGAAATAGTCTAGGTATGCACAAAGTGGCCCCCCATGAAGGGGAAGTGAGATTCCAAAAGTGTTTGTCTATGGATAAATTCATCAAAGGAAAGGTTGAACCACACAAACTTAACTTTCTATTAAATTCTTTGCCTATGTTGCTCGAATCCTCCATAAACGTTGCCGGGTGTATGCCAGATTCTCCAAAAGTAATGCATTTTTCGAGGATCTAAAAGGGGTGTGGTGGCATCTTTTAAGGATACGAGCAACATAGCTCTTTGCACAGAGGAAACACCAATCAAGTATATCCATGACAAGCACCACATACTACTGATCTTTACACTTCCAGTTATAGGTATGTTTAAGGTCAAGGGGCACAACTAAAATTGGTGACTTTATCTTAGTAAAAGCCTGTGGCCATGTCAATTTATAATTACATAGGTTTATGGCACAATGACCAATCTATGCAAAAATCATTTCTCATGTATTACTGCAGAACCAGCACCAAGAAATCTGTTGTTTCCAGCTATGAAACTCAATATAATGTCCCCCCTCTACCCCTCTATCCTTGTCCACCTAAATACCTGCTTGGTTCAGTTTTGCATTACAAATACCAGACTTGGATTACCAGCACGATTCATATTTGTCCCGCAGTATACTACCTAAGCCCTGAGGCTGGAAGCAGAACTATTAGCAACAATTTGATCCTCAGAAGCAACTCAAATGGCAAAGGAAGCAGATAAGAAATTGATACACCACATCCTCAACCTTAGAGGGGTGAGAAGTTGCTTATACTGTATTATAGCAATGCAGGACTTCAGTAGGTCTCTCTGCCCTTGTCGAATTCCAAAAATGCATAAAATAGACCTCAAATATTTTTTTAAAGACAGTGGGACTTAGGTATGCAATTCCTGCACCTCAACTAATTCATTGGCACCTGCTACAGCCCACAAACACAAGTTCCAGTAATTATGCCTATGAAGGCTAGAGCAGATGGGCTCACGCTGAGTGTTATAAATGGTATTCGAACATGATATCTCTATGTTATTAGTCTATGTATCAACCATCCACTCATCCTCTTGGAGAACCCAAACGTCATGATTTTATCCATAAGAAGTTTCGGAGAACCCAGTGCCACTATTGCTTCAAAAATAACCATTAACAGAAGCCATCTCAACCAATATCCTCAAGGTGCCAGAACTAAAACACATTTCGTTTAGGTTAACAATTATTACTTAGGGGAACGAAAAAGGGACAATCAAAATCGAACTCATTCCTATTGTATAAAAAACTCCCGCTGATACCACTAGACTATAAGATTTGGTGGTAAAATGCATTGAATAGACACTTGTGATCTGTTTCTACAGTAATAACCAGAATCTACAAACCAAAATTCGCACAATCTAGCTGAATTTAGGATGGAGTTTCAAGCCTTCAAACTAGCTGAAAACTACACAAGATTCTATATTTGTGTCAAAACCCAACATTTACTAGTGAAACCACATACATATTTAAAAGTTAGCAAAATTTACCTGTGGGGAAAAGTCAAGTACTTAGTCATAGGGACAGTAATGATATTCCTCCTAGCATTAACAGCAGACTTTTGGACAGCAGCAATCACCTCTTTAGCCTTACCAACTCCAACACCCACTTGCCCTTTCTTGTCACCCACAACCACAATTGCCCTAAAATGCAATTGCTTCCCACCTTTAACAACCTTAGTAACTCTCCTCACTTGCACCACTCTCTCATCAAACCCATCTTTGGCCTTCTCTTTCTTTGTTTTCCCAAACCCAGTTGTCTTTTTCACCTTAGAGTCCATTGTATAAATGTCATTCCCAAGAAAAGTCTCTCCACTGTAAGCTGGCCCATAAAGCTCTTCATAAGCTTTTGCAATGTCGTCTTCGGATTCTAAGGGGCCATCGTCGAAAGAGGGTGGTTCTATAAAGTCTTCAGGGCGTTCTGGAGGGTCAAAAGTGGAAATTTCTTCTGGGTCTGTGTTGTCAAAGAAAGTGGTTTCGACGGTTGTGGAATTGACTGTTATGGGCTTGAGTTTTGGTGGGTGGATGGGTTTAGGGAGGAAGAATGATTGAGATTGAAACGGAGAAAAGCGAGAAGGGGTTGTGTGTAGAGAGAGGGAAGAGAAGGTGGAGAGCGAAGCAGATGCTGCTGCCATTGTCTCTTGTTTTGTGTCAATGGCGAAGTACAGTGGAAGAAATGTAATCTTCTTATCTTTAACTTCCAAGTGGTAATATGGGCCTGAGTTGAGATAGGATTTGTTGACTACACTTTGGGCCTAATTTTGGGCCTCGTGTAATGAGTGGTATGTAGAAATGACACCAGATAGCCACTCTAAAGGGCTGCTATTTAGGAGTTAGCCAGTGCCTCCTGAACTTTAGTTTTTTCAGGACAAAAATATCCTTAATTGTCGCAACGATAAGATTTTTAATTTAAAATTTTAGGACAAAATAAGTACAAACTAATTCCTAAATAGCATCCCTGAAAATGACTATCTGTGCACTTGCCCCTGTAATCTTATGCTCATCTTTCAAGTGAGTTTCTGGTTTTGGATAAAAAATGAAAGATGGAGTTGACAGTGGCTAATGTCTCTCGAAAAGTTTTGGTAATTTGGGGGTCACTAGTCCATTAGCTTTCACGACATCCTACATGAATTTTTTGTTGCTGCAATGGACTTGTATAATGTCTCCAATCTCGCTCGGCTCGAGGCGATCACTTGAACAGGGTGAGATTGATCGATCCACATAAAAAATTCTAGCTTCCCTTCTTATGAGTGCATATACAAAATAAAGAGAGCACGAGCCACACTCCTACTATACAAGGGCCTTTAGCTTTCACTGAGAAGAAAAAATTACTTCCAACTAGATAATTGAAAACGAATTCACTTTCAGTAATCGGAGACAGGTTAGGGGCTGGCGGGCACACCCCCAACTTTCTTCTCCCAGCCTAGTAGTTCCGCAACTACTATCGTTGTTGTTGCCAACGGGGATCCCCCATTCCGAAAGGTTACTAGGCCGGATGTTAGGTCCAGAGTTGTATACCATTGTTACGGTGCCGATAGATTCACCGCTTCAGTGCCGTTATCGGACATTGCAGGCCGGGCATCTATTTCTCATATATCGTTCTAGAGCGTTTTTTAGGAATGTTGGCGCCTGATGTCTAAACCGAAGACATCACATCGGAATGCATCTCCCACCACAGACAAGAATCCGAACTGGGAAAATTCAAAAAAGAACTCGGCCCGAGAAAGCACTGGCAACAACAGAAAGGAAGGGGTCCATGTAGCTGCTGTGTCCGCCCCCTTCTTAGTCAATGGGGCATCGCAGGTTCGGCATCTACTACAAAAGAGAATCCACTTCAGATAAGCACGTCTCTGCTAGGCAGCGTGTGGATGACAGAGAGAGAACCTTTTTGGATATATAATCCAAGTCGAGAGTAGAGTTACAGGAAAAGACGTCTGATGGAAAACTACTTTCACGTTTGATTCAGAGAGCACTTTTTTCGTTGAGAATTCCTCGTTCCCTTTCGTGTGAATTTTCCAGCGGCGAATTCAAAAATTGTGGGGGAACCTGTAGGAAAGGGGGCCAACTTGAAGTCTTGATTTTAAAATCTCTCTCTACCTTCACAAAACTTCTTGCGCCTTTCTCGTAGTTTTGACTTGCTCTTAGGCTACCGTTGACCGGCTTCACGAGACCATTTCGGACTACACACATGGATCATATGCTAATTTTACATATATTATACAAATGTCAACTACTTTTTTGGGTAGGGGCTATATTATAGCTAAGTCATCAATTGAGATAAGGAGACGATAAATAAAAATATGTGTCATATGTTCATTGAATTGGTCTAAATATTGGGTGCAGTTAAAGTTTTACCGTCCGGTTCTTATGGACTAACAGCAAAGGTACGAAATCCAAATCCATATTTATTGTCTGAAAGGCTTCCGATCATCTAGCTTGAACTTAACTAAGTGAAATTCATGTTTGAATCAATGAAATGGGTGAATGCAGCACTAAACTTGAGGCCTTTTTCGACAAGGCATTGCGAGCGTTGACAGAGTTCCTACAAGAATTCTGAATTATTTTCTTTCTTGAAAACTTCAATTTTAATATACAAAATCTTAGCTCTCTATATATAAGAAGAAAACTTCAACAAAAAGGAGAAATGTCCACACTAATTGTACGTGGAAGCCAAGAAAGTTGAAATGAAACATCACTCCGACATAATAATAATTGCATATCATTTTTGCTTTATGTTGAGTTCTTGGCTCTTTGGTGTGTTATTCAACTTATATAACATGCAAAAGAGTGTATACAGCTCTAGTTTTATTATGATTGATGTAATTTCCAGCATTTTATGGATAGGATAAGTTTAAATCTAGGCATGCAAAGTGAATTGCATTGCATTGAAAATACCTTTCTAATATAGTATAAAAAGATATTTGAGAGTATTGCCGCTGGCGGACTATAACAATTAATGACAAATAAACTGATTCCCATAACGAAGGAAGCATCTCTTTATGAAATGTAAATGGCCAAGGTATCATATAAAAATCCTCCAATAAGAAGAGAAAGAAACAAGTTTGATTGTTGTATCTTGATCCACGAAGAAAAAGGCATCACTGCCATATCTTGATATACTGGTCATGACTCACTGAGGCTATGGTTCCAGTCGGAGGTGAATCTGCAAATGAAGAAATTATACCATCATGAGCTTGGTGTGGCCAAGTTCTGTGGCTCTGGTACATTGGATTCCACAGCTCCAGTAACTGTAAAAACACTTGACATGTTACTTTCCTTCATGAAATATCAAAAGAATCTAGGATCATCTAAAAAGTTATCTGAAACACGTTTTGAGATGGTTACATGTGATTCATGTGAGTAATCCTAGGTTACATTTGTTGTTGTGCAACTAATCAAGCCAAGTCTACAAAGAACAAATCATCTATGAGCTCAAAGCTTCAGCAGAAATTCTGTTAAGCATACCTCATGAGAACCAATCGCCAAGAGTTGAGCGCGGTCGGGGTGGAAAGTGCATGACTGGAACTTATTGCCACTGGAACGCAGTTCATGTAAACACTTTCTTCCGCTAACACACCATATCCGTGCACTATCCTCGCTCACGGATGCCAGGAAATTCCCGCTCATATCCCAACAGATAGAACGGACATCTCCGACATGTCCCTGTATATCAGAGAAAAGGAGACCGCATTGATAGGATACAGTAATGCTGCAGATAAGAAATTTAAGCCAAGCTTGATTTGGAATAAAACATCTTACTTGTAACTGTTGTTGGATGCTGTTAGTCTCCACATCGAATATATTTATAATATTTCCTGTAGAACATGCCAAAAGGTTCCCAAATCGAGGTTGGAATCTAACCTGTCTACTACCTCCCTGCGTTTGTACCAAGAGCAAATCAATAGTATCTTTCGTGAATTGAGAATCTAACTCTCTAGAAAGTCACTTTAGCACTGTACTTTCCCTTGCTGAATGTGATACCTATATCTGTCAAATAATACTATGAAACTCAACCCATTTATATCCTAAATGGCCTATTTGAATGTGTATTCACATGGTGACGACCTATTGATCTCAAAAACCTTGAAATTCCTTGCAACAACAAGAAATATTACTACAACCCAATCCCAACTCCCAAGCTAGTTGGGATCGGCTTTTCCTACATGCTAATTGCAGGAATTCATGAGCAAAACAGATACAACAATGACTTAGAATAGGTAGACAAGTAAAATTTGAAATGGAAACAGAAAAGCAGGTAAATATCAAATGGAGGAGGCTTTCCTATGTCAAGTAGAGACACTCTCTTCATCAACATTACAAAAAGAAGCGGAGACACCAACCTTAAAAATGAGTTTGCAATCACCCTCACTGACATCCCACAGTCTAATCTCGTCATTGCTATCACAAGAACTGAGAAGACCCACCTTTGTTGGATGAAAGTCTAGGGACATCACGTGATCAGCATGCCCCAAAAGTTTTTGGAAAGGGTTGCTTGGCTGGATTAAGACAAGATGGTGAAATAGGTAAGGTATCATGGTTGTAATAGACAAGAAAAATGAAGTAACTTAAGAGATTAAACAGTTATCATTATCAGAAACGTCCTGATAGCCATAGGAAAAATAAAAAGATTACCTACGTTTGACCAGTAGGTGTAAAAACAGCATAAGATGTTTTAGCAACACCGTAGATCCTCAAATATTGACTCAAATGAAATTTATTATGGAAAATAGGGGTAGTACCTTGGCTGCATCCCATATCATCACAGTTCTGTCAAAAGAAGATGTTGCAAACACCGTTGAATTTGGTTTAAAACGGATATCTGTAACGAGATGAGCATGACCTTCTCCAGTGTTAACATCATTATTTTCCAAGTCCCAAATCACAACCTAAACATAGATCACAGTACGAGTTCGTTAACAGGAGAAATTGAGGTAAGCCCTCCCATTTGACCAACAAGAATCCTGTAGAAGATTAATATGACAAACCTCGTGTCCAGCAGCAGCCAACAACTTCCCTTGTGAATGGAAGTGGCAAGATAGGAGCTCGCTGTGTGTTGCGTGAAGACTTCCAATCTCTTTAATAGAGATGCCTGCAAAGTAAAAAGAACTCAATTATCCTTTGTGCTGATAACTAGCAGCTACAGAGCTTGATCTCAAATCCTAGATGCAAATTTCACAAGATATCTACAGATAACACCATCTATTAGCCACCATGAGAAGCTGCCAGATCACTACGTGCTTTTGAGCAAAGAGGTTCATGATAAAGTACAATTATCATACATCAACTATACACCTTCAGATATGCGCAATGAATCTTCCAGTAGTCCCTAAAACACTAGTGGCAACTGGAAGAATAAAGCAGTGAATAATATGGAGATAACACTATCACCCTTAGTTCCTGATGGAATTATGTACTGCTAAATACTAGTTATTTACTGGTCCTTGACAAAAGTAAGAACCCCTGATGGGATAATGTATTGCAAGATAGACATTTTCCCTCTTTTACATCACTGTTAACTGTTAGCTTGTTGTAACCTACCTTTCCATTCAGATTGAGTGAGAGCAGCAAAACTTCTCCTCAATGCAAACTAATGGTTGTCAATTATCTAATTACTACCTTTCTAATATTGAACGTTTTTTTTAACCATTAAGCTTGTTGTAACCTACCTTTCCGGTCAGATTCAATGCAAGCAGCAATACTTTTCCCCAATGCAGAGATCGAATTAAATGCACCAATCAGACCAGCATCTCCCTGGGAGAAGTAGCTGTTAATATTGCCACTCGAAATACCATCGGTAGTAGCTTTCTCTTTCCCAACCTATAGCACAGAAATATATTAAACCATACTCATTCATCCAAATGACTATAAAGGTTGACAGAGACAAGAAAAAATTAATAAAGGAAAGTCCAATCCCCAATAAGATGCAGATGACAGCGGTAGAGTGAAACGAAAACACCAGCACATGAAGGGATTTAAGAAGTAGATGCACAAAAATTATCTTACAGCTGCCAGAGAACTCAGTGAAGCTTTCCTCTTTCTGCCCCTCTGATTCAAAATACATGTAAATAAATCAGTGGTCAAACAGGGAAGATGCACGTCTCCATCAACTCTTGTACTGCTAAAATATTGCTGAAATTTGAAGATGGTCAAATAAAATCAGTTACTTTCTTAATGATCTAAGGCCAACCTTATTTGAAGACTGCAGTCTCAGCTGGTTCACTTGCTCCTGCACTGCAATTTGCTTTCCTCCTGTAGGAGCTAATATTTGCTGGTCAACTGGTAAATTTTCCAGGGTTCTTTTATTTTTATCGCCAAGTATCTGTTCAATACCAGAAGAAGACAAATAGAAGAATAGTAAGGCAGGACAAAATATCTGTGTCACATCAACATAGTAGGATAGTCTTTATTTTGTCCTCAATCTGGTTATTGCGTTGCAAATACTTTGAAGTTTTTTCCTCTTTTTCTTTCTGCTACATAGGCTCTTTCTTTTTATATTTACTGCTCTTATTTTGACAATTGATAACTTGATGTACAAAGTTTTACAAAGCGATTTCACAGAACATAAAATCCTGAATAGCAACCCATGGTCTATTTCGCGGCTAAAATAATTGCTACATGCTACAATCAATAGGAGCGACATGATTAGCTGAGTAATCAACTTACTCCTGCATGTTTGCCACTCGAGCCAGCTTGAATGAGCATACGATTGAAATCACCAGAACTTGAAGGGGCAGGAAAGTTGAGCTCATCCAATGTTTGAACTGCCACTTCTGGTAAAACATCCTGTTGAGGAGAGAATTTAGTTCTCAAAAATTGTTCCTTTTGAGTTGGTACTATTACACTAGGATGTACAAATTGATGGTTAATGACAGGGGGAACTGGGTCAACTCCCTGGGTTGAATATAAAAGGAATGAATCAACTTAAAGTTGGAACCAAACTGAAACACCATAATGGACTACACATTTCGATTGATGCAAAAGTTCAAGACACTCACAACTAAAGGACATCCTTGATGAGATGCTTGTTGGAGAGATCTGTTGTTCCCTGCAGGTACAGTGGAAGAAAGATCAAAAGAATATTTTAAAAAGAAAAGGATGAGGAGGCCTAAAAGTGCATAAAAGTACCAACATAAATATTAAAGAAAATAAAGTGGCTAATCTACTAGCCTACATTGTAAAATTTATCAACAACAACTAAGCCTCAACTATATGATGGATGGGATCATTGTAAAATCTATCTTTAGAAGTTATTTAAAACGTTGTCTATATGGTCACTGCAAGAGCATCTCATGGTGATTCTTCTGAAGAGAACATGCAAGTGCTAAGCACTCATAAAACTGATTATTTTGCTGAATGTAAGTTTAAAAGTTGTCTGCTTCCATGTTAGTTTTGCCTAGTGTCCATCAATATCAAGACTTCTAATTGATAATGAATCTAATCATCGAAGAAATGAAACTGGACCAGGAACAAAGAAACAAAGTAATTAGAGCTTGTTCAGCAAGCCAGTGGAAATTAATTCCTACATACAGCGTATCATCTTCAAAAACCAAAAGATAAAAAGAAGCAAATGAGAAGTGCATCATATCAAAATTCTATTTTAAGAACTTCATTGAATGCGGGTGCCACATTTTTTCTTTGGTATCTTAATCCCAAGCTGCCTTATGTTTATCCTTTTCTTACTTCAACCTGCAGCATGCATCTTTGTCCACATGGGAAGGAATGTCCTATATCATCTTAGTTGTGTAGATTTTACTAAAACAAATGCCTTGCTAGCCATTTGCATAATCACTAAGGAAATGAGAGCCATCCATAGATGGAAATTGGATCAAGCCGAGCTTAGTCGTTCATCCTTGAGCTCAGCTCAAGTATTATACTAGTCAACTTCAAACTCAAGCTCAAATATCAAACTAGCTTCAAGTTGGAGTTCTCACCTCGAACAAATGTAGACAAGTTCAAACACGACTCAATGTAGCAACAATCTAATTAACAACCTCAAAGTCAAGACAACCTTGAATTACACACAGTATAATAAATCTCTATCTTAGACTCAAAATGGGAGCCATTTTTAGTATACAACAACAACAAACCCGAAATCCTACAAGTGGGGCCTGAGGAAGGTAATGTATACGCAGACCTTACCCCTACCTTGTGGAAGCAAAGAGGCTGATTCCGATAGCTCCTCGGCTCAAGGAGACATTTTTAGTATAAACAATTTAAATCTCAGAATCATATTGGGAAATATTTTCACAATAATAACTTCTTTTTTTTTGATAATATAAATGTATTATTGAAGAAAATCTAAGAAAAATTTATACAAAAACAACCATGTAGTAGTTGATACTTGATACTAATGTTAACACCTCGATTTATACTTATGTCAAATAATATGTTCCAGAACTATTGATCGCAGGGTTCCACATGCCTGAATAGTAAAATATACAAGCTAAGGTAGAGCGAGTGGAAGTTGAACAACCATGTATTATTTGATAACTAAGTAATAAGTGCCACCTTAGGCCCATGTGAGCCACATTTATTAAACTACAACAACCGTCCTTCCCATCCCAGGTGGTGCCGCTAGACCACCTTAGGCCCATGTGAGCCTCATTTATAAATCTAAAACACCTGCCATTCCCATCTCAATTCGTGCCTATGTGGCTTGACCAGGTCGGGAATAGATTCACATAGAAACAACTGCTGGCCTAAAATCGTTTTCTATGTTAGCTAGCGAGACAGCCAAAATCTTAGTATATGAGTTATTCCCTTTAAGCTTGACAATGAAGCCTATCGAGAAATAGTATTTTGATGTTTATGGTAGACACATATTAATCCAAACGAAAAGGGATTTACAACTGCTACAAATTAAGACTGAGCCAGTGCTATTCGATGTATGCAATTTGTCATTCTAATGGATTTTAGTGCTAAAAGTCTTTTGCAGATAATCACAATGCACGTCGAGTTGACTTAGGAGTAAAAGTTAAATGACTGTCCACACATCCAACAATATCAATGCCAAAGACAAAAGATTCTATAAACTACATGCATAATATTTTAAGCCAAGATACAAACAAACCCGCATCAGAATGTTCTGGCCATGGAGGCAAATAAAGATTTGGTTCCATCTGCATAGGTCCTTCCAAGTTTATACCACGTCTGTCGCCCTGGAAAGAATAAAAGCTTGTCAATTATTTACAAATAACTACTAAAAAGCTTACAAATATGTTTGGGGAAAATGTAAACATACTCTGCCCTCCCACTGTGGAAGAACCGTTGGAATTTGGTGCATTGGATAGCTGAAAGACATGGACATGCATCATGGAAAATTAGAAGATTCTGATTCAATAACTTCAACAAGCAAGTAATGCTTTCACATACAAAACATGCTTGGAATATCAAGATAATGTGACAAGACTATCTCATAGTACTGGCTAAGTAGTAGGTTCCGCTTACTAGACTAAAGAGCACATCTTAATAGCCATGTTTTGCTAGAAACTATTGATATTTAATATATCAGAAACTCATAATAGCAATACAAAGACAGAATAATAACGTGATTTTGGCTAATTTTCTTTACGTTGCCTTAGCAGCTTAAGACAATAATATCAGACCAAGCGAAACAAAACCACAGAGCATCAAGTGCTCAACCTTTATCCTCGTTGAAGCGACAAAGGAAGCATTGTAAAATAGATCAAAATGTGATGAGAATGATCAGTTTAGCAATAAATATAGCATGCTATTACCCAGAGTTGCTTGCAGATGGAAGCACGCCATCCATTTTATTAATCTCAAGAAACTTTAAAATCGATGTCACGTCTCTTGGAGGAGTCATATTCTGGGCTTGCTCTTGCATTCTTCCGGGTAGCAGATCTAACGATGGTTGCCCTTGCACCATCCGAATATTTGGTCCAACAGAAAATTGAGTGAAACTGGGCTGAATATACCCTGTCCTTGGCATGATTGAACTGCCATTCTGAAGGACATCTCCCCCTGTTGGCATCATTTCGGGAGTAATAGATGCCATTGGAGGAGATAAATTTGGCAACAAGCTGGGACAAATGGATGACAACAAATCTGAAATATAGGGGTCCATAAGATCAGGACCGCTGGATGCCATCACAGGAGAGGATGCCATCAAATGAGGGGACGGCATCATAGGAGAGGATGTCGTCACAGTAGAGATGTTTTCTCCTGTATGATTAGGAGCATAGATTGAACTTACAGGACCGATATTCGACACAACGTTCTCCACTGTCTGTGAGACCTGAGAATTAAGAAATTAGTTCGCAATTATGTCATATCAGTTAACCATGAACATAACTTAGAAAAGTTCAATGGGTAACACCTTATCAAAGGATTCGGCCGCGAATAGAGCAACCTCAGGGAACCTAGAGCTGAATGCTTCATAAAATATATTCCACCACTCTTGCAGATATCCTTCAGGAGAATTGATAGCTGAAACAATATCACAAGTATCACATATCATTACTCCAAAGCTCTGTATCATGTTAACATATAACTTCAACCTAAGTTGTTCCGACAGGGCAGTTTAGGTGTCGCACCCGTATCGACGCGACACTAGAATGGGTGTGGGTATGCGATCCGTACCTGATTTGGTCAAACAAATTCGGGTACTTTGACCATGACGGACCAAAAAATTCGAGACAAGATACAATTTGATTCCCGAAATCAGAACCAAAACTAGGGTAAATTTGAAGAAAATAGCATACGTTATCTAGGAAACAATCCCTTACGTATCTACAACTTGAGAATAAAAAAGAAATCCACACTATACAAGCTATACGTAAGTATTCCCACAAACTTTCTCATAATTTAGAGATATTTTTATATTTTTGAATTATTTTTAGCCGGATCCCCGCACCCGTATCCATAATAGGATCTGTATCCCCTAATCTTAGAATTTACATCTCAAAGGATCCGACCTCTAGATCCGCACCCGTGTTGGATACCCGCACCCATGTCCAAGCAACTTAGACTTCAACTCCATTATACACGTCTCTCTAAATTACTGAAGGACGGTTAATACAGTACTTTCAAAAATCCAACAGTAGATAACTAGAATGTACCGCATAAATCAAAAAGAATGACCTCAACTTATTAGCAAATTTTCAAGAACAACACGATCAGCAATCTACCATATGGTCATATCACATATGTAAGAATTACAAAACTAAGAATGAGAATTTTACAACCCTTTCAGGTAAATAACAATCATTACTAAAACACATATCTTAATTCATTAGAGGATCAGTGTTTAGCATCTGATAAAAGAATAGAAATCTTTTTTTTCTCACCAAAAGAATAAAATTCATTAAAAGGAGTTACTTACCAACATGATTTGGATTAGCATTAATTTCTCTGGCGAATACCTCACAAGTCTGATGGAAACCTCTCTTAACCATGTAATTAAGAATGACAACTTCAAGCCTGAAAAACACAAACAAATAAAAGAAAAGCATGACTAAAACCAGTCAAACAAAGGGGAAAAATCACATACACCCAAAATCAAATGAAAAGTAGACAAGCACAGATTATCAAGAGTATCAATCATTAAAAATGTAAGCATAAAACAATTGAGACATAGTAGTTTTTGCTATAAAATAATTGGCAAACACATAAAAACTTACAAGTGTCGAGCCTCCAAACTAGCCATGATCACCAAAAACAAAGCGTTACTTAATCACAGAAAGGGGAAGGGAAAGAAGGTTTGAGCAAGAACAACTGGGAAAGATGAAGAAAGAGTCTCAAGAACCAAAATCCCACTTCGATTACAGACAGAAGAATGCAGAGAGAGAGAGAGAAATGGTGACTGTACCATGCAAAAGTGTAGGGAAAAAAAAGAGCAAAACACTTGACTTAAATAGAGAAATGGTGGCCCCTAGTATAGTGGTAAAAATGACAATGACACAGTTTTATCCTTTGACCATTTTACCTTTTATAAAGTATTCTTTTTGATTGAAAATACCATAAAAAAAAAAACAAATAAAGACGTGTTAATGCAGCTCAGAAGCAAAGTTACAATAGAAGTCAATTCTAAGAAGGAGGCACGGTAAAAGAAGATGAACGAATTGTTTGTCCGAGCCTGCGTTTTTAGGTGATAAATAGACAACAACTTTTACTCCAATATTTAACCCTAACGCTTCGAACCAAAAGAGGTCACAAAAAAGATAGTGAACCTTCTTAAATTTGAGCTAATCTAATAGACTTTTTCACAATTAGACAATCACTCGTTAATTTTGACCATTTCGGTTTCTAAGCAATTTTTGAGCTGAATTCCATGCAAGATAGTTAAAACTCGTAAATACCCCAAGAAGAAACAGCTTCTCACCCCCGGTTTTTTCTTCTTCTTTTTTCCCATTTTGATTTAACACATCCGAATTGAAAGTATAAAAATAATTTATACTGTCAGTGTAGTTTAATTTATTAACCATATTATCTACAATCTTTTTATGCAACATTGTCAAGCTTGTAGGCTATCTGTTACATGTTATAAAGTATCGTGATAGTGTAAAAACAATATTTTCACGGTAGTGTAAAGAGTAACAATTAGGGAGTAATCAATCAATTTAGAGAAGTATAAGGGTATTGAATAATTTTGAAATACTTGAGATTATATGACAACGAAAATTGAGATTAAAAGGTATGATCTAATTTAGATATGATTTAATTGTTGCTAACCACTTACACTTTTTGAAGGTCATACATTCTTTTATTTTATCCCACTAATTAATTTCGAAAGCTAGTTACCAAAAAATGGTAGTCAAGTAATTTATATCAATAAAAGTCATGCCATTGTGATTATGCAAACTCTTATTACATAATCTGAGACAAAAAAGATTGATAAGATGGTATAACTTAAGTAAGAAATTAAATTATTGTTAAATATATGTTATTTTTATTTAAGTAATCGGATTGGACAGCCAAGGGGTATTCTTGGCTATGGTGGGATGGATGGGATCCTCCCCTTAGCCAGAGCTAGCGGGTTCGAGCCCCCGGAATGAAGAAATCCTTGATATCGAGTATTTTCCCTTTAAATGGCCCTACGTTGTGTGAATCTGGACTAGTCAGCTAATAGGTTCCGAATGCCATATGGTTATACTGAAAAGAAGGCATTGGATTGCCTATTAAGATTTATCCCGTGGTTTTTAATAGAAACCATAACTAAATGTCTTCATATTTGTTAAAATGTTCAGTTGGGCCGCATATTACGATAAAGGAAGACTTTCATTAGCTCCAAACATGCATGTATGAACTCTTACAAATGTGGTAACTTAATAATAACATCTATATATTATGCAAAGATTAACATCATATTTCCATTTAAGGAGCATTTAATCATCTAGTGCTATTACAAGACATCATTTCGTCGCTTAAAGCAATGAGGCTATGCAAAGAAATGGGTTATTGCTTCATAGGTGAAGCCATGCACTTCATAGATGTGTGTGCTTCATACAATACCACGCAAAGTGACAAACGGTCAATTCTTTGAATCTCAACTTCGAGCTGGATTTGTATCGACATTATTGTTTGTTGAATGTTGAATGTTGAAAGTAGTTTTTTTAATTACAGTTTGATCATTATAATACTAAATTCATATATATTTGCTATTTTCTAATTTCGGAATAGTGCACTTCATTCCAAACAACTATGTACTTTATTTCTCGCTCTTCGATTCACGTCCCATGGACCTTATTGCGTTTTCGCTCTTTCGCTTTTAAAGACACTGGTTCTAGGTGATAAATTGTGTAACTCATTTCATCTAAATGGTTAAACTACTAAAGGAGTATACTTTTATTTACTTAATTGTGTTTCAAATAGCTCCCTCACGTACAGGTCTGAGTATTTTTTTGTAAATCAACTAGTGAATTTTTTCTTTCTTTTTACAATAAGAGATGGTGAGACTTGAACTTAGGACCTCTATCTGCTATGTTACCATGTTAGATTGTATCAACAATAAAAATCATGTTAGATTGCGTAACCATCTCGTTTAAAAACTTAATTTGTTACAGAGAATAGACTTTTATCGACTTTACTATGTCTTCAACACTACTTCCTAGGAAAGAATATGCCGTATTTGAGAAATTGTGATTCCAAAGCAAGGCAGTTTCAACCCCCATTTGACATATCGGAAAGGCTTGAGATAGGCACCAAAACAACGTAAAGTTTGATTCTTGCATGATTGAAAATGATTAAAAATCGATAAAATATGATAACTGCATTTACCATAAGTCTTAAAATCGATAAAACATGATAAGTGCATTTATCATAAGTATTAGAATTAAGTCAAATGTTATTATTTGCCCCTATGTTGATGTTAATGATTTGTCCATTTTTAGCTCTAGCATAATGTTATTTAAGAGAAAAAATATTTTCAGTAACTATTTCGACATAAAAAGATTTTAGTAAGGTAAATTCATCTCAGAATGAAGATTAACAAAGTGTATGTTATATTCCTCGATTAATCACATGATGGTGACAATATCTTGGAAAAATAGACGATAGGTACTAATTGTTTTTTATTTAGGGTGGTGATACGATGGAAACATTTTCCAAACGTTCTTCAAATATTTTCTGAATTCTTTTAGATTATAGATTGATAATAATGTTAGTGAATCAGATAGTTTTTTTATGAAATTTTTGAATACTAAAGATTGGTTATAATGTCTAAGTGTTGGTTGGAGAATAGATATGAAATTAAGAGTTGAGATAACTTCTACCCAAGAGTGAGGGAAGTCATTTTTAGACCATGTCAACTGACAAATGATGTTTACTTTGTCTGCAATACTCTTTGACTTTATCCAGTTTATATTTCCAGGAAAATGAAATATGTGTGTCTCTGCAGCTGGTAGAGAAGATGATGCGCAAAGGGAATGGAACACCTTAAGGATGATCATTAGTCCTAATGAGTCTAGGAAAACCCTTCTTTGTCCGAGATATTAACTTTATTTTCCAAAGAAATAATCCAACAAATGCTGTCAACTAGTTATATGATCTTGTAATTCAGACATTTTATCACTTATTCCAAGTACTACACAAAATCAAAGATTTGAAGTGGGAATCTATTCCTCCAAAGTAAGGATTATTTACTTATTTTATCCAAACCGATTAATCCAATTATACAAAGCTTACTTGACAGTTTTCAAGTACATTAACATGTAGGCAAAAATAACTATACACTAATGCAAATCAAGTCTACAACATTGAATAAACGAAAGCTGAAACATACCTGCTAAGAAGAAGAAAAGTACTTGACGAAAAAGCCAAGTCCAATATAACAGCAAGACACAAACCCAGCATTAAAAATGCAACTCTTTAGCGTATTCCTTGTAGGACCCTGAACCCAAAAACGAAAAATCAACTACAACAGAGGAATTTAAAGTTTAAAAACATCATATTTGCGAAGAACGGGGGAAACTATACGGACGTTGATTCCAGGAGCCAAAGCTCCAACCTGTACTGCTTTTGCCGATGATACTTCTTCTCTTCTACTCGATTCTTTCAACTCCATTTTTTTAGTGATTTGTGAGTGCTGGGGTTTTGATTGGGATTATTAACCTCCAAAAGCAGTAAGAGAACAATGAGGAAGATTTTGGGATTTGTACTGGGAATACCCAGTAAATTGAATCGGCTCAATCAGGTTATTAAATTGATTATTTGATCCTATTTCTGTTACATCAAAAGTTGATAATCGTATAATTATAAGTAGCAATTTTTTTTAAAAAAAAATAAAACAATCCCAAATCAAACCTAATAAATACTCCTCCCTAAAATGTATGAGATATAATTATATTCAAAAGTAAGTCAAATAAAATATCATTTTAACTAATAATAATATTTTTACAAACTTTCCAATTTAAGAATTTAAGTACATTAATTATTCAATTTTAAACTTTGATGTGATATTGTACTTTATCCATAGACAAAAAATTTATATTAGGTATTTCATAGACAATTCTAATTAACATTTTAAATTCAATTTCCAAACAATAAAATAGGGCAGAAGAGTACAATGTCAAGATTAAATAGAGTCTGAAACTATGAATCAAAGTTTGCGACTGTTTCTGTAGTGATTCAGCCATTCAAATAACTCATTCCAGGGAAATGGTGTGTATCCCTCAACAAAATCAAGAATACTGTCTTCTTGCTTTGTCCCAAGTAAAAGTCATAAACCAAGAAGCATCAGTAAATTAATAATGGAAGCTGAGAGCATGGGGTATAGCCGCAGAAACTGGCATGCAACAAAGTATCACTGCCATATCTTGATATACTGGTCATGACTCACTGAGGCTATGGTTCCTGTCGGAGGTGAATCTGCAAATGAAGAAATTATATCATCATGTGCTCGGTGTGGCCAAGTTCTGTGGCTCTGGTACATTGGATTCCACAGCTCCAGTAACTGCAACAACACTCGACAGGTTACTTCCCCCTCATGAAATATTAAAAGTATCTAAGATCATCGAAGTTATCTGAAACATGTTTTGAGATGGTTACATGTGATTCATGTGAATAATCCTAGGTTACATTTGTTGTTGTGCAACTATATAGAGACATTAATCAAGCCAAGTCTACAAAGAACTTAATCTATGAGCTCAAAGCTTCTGCAGAAATTCTGTTAAGCATACCTCATGAGAACCAATCACCAAGAGTTGAGCGCGGTCAGGGTGGAAAGTGCATGACTGGAACTTATTGCCACTGGAGCAAAGTTCATGTAAACACTTTCCTCCGCTAACACACCATATCCGTGCACTATCCTCGCTCACGGATGCCAGGAAATTCCCACTCATATCCCAACAGATTGAACGGACATCTCTGACATGACCCTATATATCAAAGAAAAGGAGACCACTTTGATATGATACAGTATTGCAGCATAGTAGAAATTTAAAACAAGCTTGACCGGGAATAGACAATCTTACTTCGAACTTTTGTTGGATGCTGTTAGTCTCCACATCAAATATATTTATAACATTTCCTGTAGAACTTGCCAATAAGTTCCCAAATCGAGGTTGAAATCTAACTTGTCTACTACCTCCCTGCATTTGTACCAAGAGCAAGTTAACCAACATTTAGTGAATGGATAATAGCTAATTCTCTAGAACGTCACTTAGTTTAGACACTGTACTTTCCCCCGCTGAACGTGATTATGGATGTTGGTTCAAATAATATTATGAAACTCAACCCTTTTATTTCCTAAACTATCGCATGTGCATGTACATGTTGAGGCCTACTGATCATGAAAACTTTGAAATTGCTCGCAGGCAAGAAGAACAATAAGAAAAACATTTCCCACAATCTAAATGCAGGAATTCAGGAGAACCGACTTGAAGATGGCTTAGATCAGGTAGATATGTAAGCTCAAAATTGAAATAGAACAGAAAAACAGGTAATACCAAATTATGGAGGCCCTTCCTATGTCAAGTAGAGGCACCTCTTCATCAACGTTTAAAAAACAAAGAAGTAGAGACACCAACCTTAAAAATGAGTTTGCAATCGCCCTCATCGACATCCCACAGTCTAATCTCATCATTGCTATCACAAGAGCTGAGGAGACCGGCCTTTGTTGGATGAAAATCTGTGGACATCACATGCTCAGCGTGCCCGACAAGGCTTTTGAAAGGGTTGCTTGGCTGGATTAAGACAAAATGGTGAAACAGGTACAGTGTCATGGTTGTAAAAGACACAGAAGAAAAAGGGAAGAAACTCAAGATATTAGACAGTTATCATTATTAGAAAAGTCCTGATAACCATAAGAAGAAGAAAAAGATATTCTGAAGGTCTAGAGACTGCAAAAGATGTTTTGGTAACAACAAGTTCCTCAAATATTGATAGCCTGTTTGGCCAAGCTTCTTTTTGGCCAAAAGTGCTTTTTTTTTGTTGCCAAAAGCACTTTTGGCCAAAAATTGAGGTGTTTGGCCAAGCTTTTGGAAGGAAAAAAAGTGCTTTTGAGGAGAAGCAGAAGTAGTTTTGGAGAAGCAGAAAAAAGTAGCTTCTCTCCAAAAGAACTTTTTTGAGAAGCACTTTTGAGAAAAATACACTTAGAAGCAGTTTTTTAAAACTTGGCCAAACACTAATTGCTGCTCATAAGTGTTTTTCAAACTAATTAGCCAAACACAAACTGCTTCTCACCAAAAGTACTTTTGAAAAAAAGCACTTCTCAAAATAAGCTGATTTTTGCAGCTTGGCCAAACGAGCTATGAGTCAAATGAAATGTGTTGGACAGAACAAGATGATGATTCTGTACATATTAGTGATAAATCTTTTATCCTCTGAGCAGAGATAATGAATGTGGCAGTAAACGCCAATTGACAATAGTCTGAGCAGCTGCTTGCTAAAATAAGAATATATCTTCTCATCTAAGTAAAAGGAAAATAATCAGGATAATAATAGCACAGAAATTAGAAGAAATAATGTTAACCAAGAACGACGAAATCGTAGAAGTTACAACTAGTGAATACATATCCTGGTTGATTTGACTATGCTGACTGCTATTTCTAAGGTGGATGGAACTTGTAAAAGACTCATTTGCCAAGAACTTGGTATGGAAAATAGAGGTAGTACCTTAGCTGCATCCCATAACATCACAGTTCTGTCAAAAGAGGATGTTGCAAACACCATTGAGTTTGGCCTAAAACGGATATCTGTAATTAGATGAGCATGACCTTCTCCACATTTAACATCACTATGTTCCACGTCCCAAATTACAACCTAAACATAGATCGTACAAGTTCATTAACAGGAGAAATTGACATAAGCGCTCTCCCATTAAAAATCCTTTTATAAGCAAGACAAACCTTCCTCTCGTGACCAGCAGTAGCTAACAATTTTCCTTGTGAATGGAAGTGGCAACATAGGAGCTTGCTCTTTGTTGCGTGAAGGCTTCCAATCTCTTTAATAGTGATGCCTGCAAAGCAATATGAAGTCAATTATCCTTTGTGCTGATAACCAGCAATTTATCCATCAGGGTAAGAGCCTCAAAAAGTCAGAAGCTACAGTGCTTGATCTCAAACCCTAAATGTGACACCACACATTCTTTTCATTTTTTTCCCGTTTTAAGATACAATTATACTGAAGCAATATAAAATCGTGCAAATTTCACAAGAGAAACTTACAGATGACACCATCTATTTGCCACCATGAGCAGCTGCCACATCACTATTTGCTTTTAAGCAAAGAGGTTCATGACAAAGCACAAATATCATACATTAAGTATACACCTTCAGATATGTGCAATGAATCTTCCACTAGTCCCCTAAAACACTAGTGGCTTCTGGAAGAACGAAGCAGGGTATAATGCTAATAAAACCAGCACGATTGGGTTTGCTTGGGATAATGTTATTTCCTGAACATAAGAGAATTAGACGCACGACCTAGCTGGGTGAGGTTAGAACCTAACAAAAAAGGTGAGACTGGTTATGTACAGTTCAAAATCAGAGCCTAAATCTAAACTTGTTAAAATGATTCATGGAGTCCTAATGGAGGATTAATTTCTGTTGACTGTCAATTATCTAAATTAATATTTTTTTAATATTAATTTTTTTTTGACCCATTAAGCTTGTTGTAACCTACCTTTCCGGTCAGATTCAATGGAAGCAGCAATACTTTTCCTCAATGCAGCGAGTGAATTACTTGCAGCAATCAGACCAGCATCTCCCCGGGATAAGTAGCTGTCGCTATTGCCAATCATAATACAATCTGTAGTAGCTTTCTCTTTCCCAACCTACATCCCGGGAATATATTAAATGAGCAAGAATAAAGTTGACGAAGACTATATAGACATGTCATATTCGTCCAAGTGACTATAAAGGTGACAGAGACAAGAATAAACTAAGAAAGGGAAGTCCAATCCCCAAAAAAAGATGCAAACGTCAGCGGCAGAGTGAAATGGAAACACCAGTACATGAAGGGCTTTAAGAAGTAGATGCAGAAAATGATCTTACAGCTGACAGAGAAATCAATGAAGTTTTCCTCTTTCTGCCACTCTGATTCAAAACACATGTAAATAAATTAGTCGCCAAATAGGGGAAGAGGCACATGTCTCCATTAAGTCTTGTACTGCTAAAATATTGCTGAAATTTGAAGATATTCAAATCAAAACGAGTTACTTGCTTTATGATCTAAGACCAACCTTATTTGAAGACTGCAATCTCAGCTGGTTCGCTTGCTCCTGCACTGCAATTTGCTTCCCCGAATCTTTCATTTGCTTTCCTCCTATAGGAGCTAATATTTGCTTGTCAACTGGTAAGTTCTTCGGGGTTCTTTTATTTTTATCACCAAGCATCTGTTCAATACCGGAAGAAGACAAAAAGAAGAATTAGTGAGGCAGGAAAAAGATCTCAATCACAGAACATAAAATCCTGAAAACCAATCCATGGTCTATTTCACGGCTAAAATAATTGTAGCATGCTACAATCACTAGGAGCGACAGGATTAGTTGAGAATTCAACTTACTCCTACATCTTTTCCACTCGATCCAGCTTGAATGAGCACACGATTGAAATCACCCGAACTTGCAGGGGCAGGAACGTGGAGCTTATCAAACGTTTGAACTGCCACTTCTGGTAATGCATCCTGTTGAGGAGAGAATTTAGTTCTCAAAAACTGTTCCTTTTGAGTTGGTACTATTACACTAGGATGTACTACTTGATGGCTAATGACAGGGGGAACTGGGCCAACTCCCTGGGTTGAATATAAAAGGAATGAATCAACTTAAATTTGAACCCGAACTAAAACACCATAATGGACTATACATTTCTATTGATGCAAAAGTTCAAGACACTCACAGCTAACGGCCATCCTTGATGAGATGATTGTTGGAAAAACCTGTAGTTCCCTGCAGGTACAATGCAAAAAAAAGATCACAGGAAATTTGAAAATTAAAAAAGAGCAAGATAAGGAGATCTAAAAGTGCATAAAATGCCAACAGAAATATTAAAGGGAATAAATTGGCAAATCTACTAACATGATGGCACATTGTACAATCTATAAACAACAACAACTAAGCCTTAATTCCAAGCTAGTTGGGAACATTGTGCAACCTATCGTTAAAAAGTATTTGAAATGTCATCTATGTGATCACTGCAAGAACTTCTCCTGGTGGTTATTCTGAAGAGAACATGCAAGTGCAAAGCACTCATCACACGGATTATTTTGCTGAATTTAAGTCTTAAGATAGTCTGTTTATTCATACTTCCTTCCGTGTCAGTTTGCCTAATGTGTTTTTCTATGACAACTTCCAGTGATAATGAATTGAATCTTCAAAGTGAAACTGGAACTAGAACAAAGAAACATAGTAGTAAAAGCTTGGTCAGCAAACCAACGGAAATCAATTGCATACACAGAGCATCATCTTCAAAAATCAAAAGTTAAAAAGATGCAAAAGGAAAGTGCATTGAATCAGAGTTCTATTTTCAGAACTTTATTGAATGCCCCACTGTATATTTGTTCTGGTGGATCTTATTCCTAAGCTGTCATATGTTCATCCTTTTATTACTTAAACCTGCAACATGCATCTTTGTCCAAATGGGGAAGTGTGTCATATATAATCTTAGTTGTAAAGATGTTACTGAAGTTAATGCCTCACTAGCCATTGGCATAATCACTAAGGAAATGAGAGTCATCAAATAGCTACCTCAGCTAATCTGATTAAGCTGACCTCAGTTTTTCATCCTTGAGCTTTACAAGTCGAGTTCAAACATCGAACTAGCTTCAAATTGGAGTAGAGCTCAACAACAACTATGCCTCAGTCGCAAACAAGTTGGGGTCGGCTATATGAATCCTCACTTCTTTCTCTAAATTAGAGTAGAGCTCAACTCAAATATATTAGACAAGTTCAAGCATGACTTAATATAGTAACAAGCTAATTAATAACCTCGAACTCGACTTCAAGCTCAAATTACATCCCCCCCCCCCCCCCCCACACACAGATAGTATAATAAATTTACTTCGTAGAATCAAATCGGAAAATATTTTCACATTAATATCTATATAATCTTTTTATTCGCTATGAATGTAACATTAGAGAAAACTCTTAATGGGGTTTACTCCTAAGTTGCTCCGACACGGCAGTTTAGGTGCACCCGTGTCAACACGACACTGGTGTGGGTGTGGGTGTGAGTATGGGATTCGTACGGGATCTGGTCAAACGGTTTTGGGTACTTTTACCACGGCGGACGAAAAATTGGAGACAAGATACAATTTGATTCCCGAAATCAGAAACAAAACTAAGGTAAATTTGAAGAAAATGACAATACCTTATCTAGAAAATCAATTGTTTACTTTCTGCTTCTCCTCTTGATCGGGCAGAAAGAGTGGCAGAGAGCAACAATTGAGAATGGGGAAGACGGAGCCTTGGAGAATTTGGGAAAGCTTGACAGACACTAACTCTAATTTATATATTAATAATTAGAGATCTAATCTAAATTATAAAAATTAACATTTTAGTTTTAAATGAAAGATAACTATAAAATAGTTAACTTGTAGGAGAATCCGAGAATGGAAGAAAATCAAGAAATCATGCCTACAACTTGAGAATAATTAAGAAATTCACATTTGACAAGTTATAGGTAAGTTTTCCACAAAAATTTCTCATAATTTAGAGATATTTTTATATTTTTTAAATTATTTTTAGCCAGATCCTCGCACCTATATCCGTACTAGGATCCATATTCCCGAATCTTAGAATTTACGTCTCGAAGGATCCGACCTCTAGATCCGCACACATGTCGGACACCTGCACCCGTGTCCGAGCAACTTAGGTTTACACTAATGTCAAAATAATTATTTTCATGAACATAAGTTGACCTTAAAGTTACACATGCTTGAATTGTTAAAAAGACAAGCTAAGATTAAGCCAGTTAAGTTGTATTTCCGAACAATGTGGCTCACTTAATAGCCCTAACTAATTGAACAAAGCCACCTTAGGCCCATGCAAGCCACATTTATAAATCTATGACACGTAGTTCCTATCCTAATTGGTGTCCATGTGGCTTGGCTAGGTCAAGAAGAGATTCACATAGAGACAACTGCTATTCGAGAATCTATTTCTATGTTAGCTAGTTGGGCAACCTTTCCCATGTTAGTCCTCGTTCTGGCCATCTTGATTTGAAGATACTTGTATGTAGCAGGTCATGATAGCTCTATATGAGGGTCTTTCAAAGGCTAAAACAGCCCTCATCAATCCCTCGTCCTCTTTTTTACTCTTTTATGTGAACTTGAACAATGGCAATTTACAAGTTGTAAGAGGTCATCACTTCTTTGAGGAGAGGTAAACACCGTTACTTGTCTCATATTAGGCAAGTAGGTGCCGCATAAGTGAGATAGAAGAACTTGCTTAAAGAACCGTAGTGAATATCATACTAGCCATTCATCGTATTGGACTAGTGCCAAAGGTTAAGAAACTCAATTTGGAAACTTAGGGTGGTCAGAAAATAGATGGAAAACGATCAAGCTCTTATTGCATATAGTCCGGGTAATATTTTTATCAAGGTGGCATGACTCACCAATATATTTAGGCACATTCAAGTTGAAGCTATATATTTCAGTTCGAAAATGACTCGAGCGTGATTAGTAAAGTTAAAATACTTGAATGATTACCATATTAAGACTAGTAGAAGAAAACCTTTTGAAATGTGAAAAAGCATTTAAAAATAATATGAAACGCTATTACTGTACTTCAATTTTATGGGATCAAGATATCACTTTACATGTAAGGAAATAGGTCCAAGGTCATTAGGAACAAGCTAAAGTAGAAAGTAAGACACTTTTATTAAGATTGGTGGTGTAGATTGTAGGATAGATGATCTCTTAGGATGAACGAGAAAGTCCTATGAACCTACAAAGTGAGTGCCGATGTTCAGGATCTTTAGTTCTGAGCAAGGACATGTTGAGGAGGACTTTTTCTGCTGCATCTAATAGTCATATCGCCTGTGATGATACTCTTTATTTATGACAACTCCTCTGCAACTTCGACAAGATCGGATTTCATCAAGAAGAGTATGATTAGGAGATTCGTGAACAAATTTGGTGCGTCACAATTAATCCAAATGAATACCACAAGGGAGCATAGGGCATGCATGTCGAAGAAAAGTTTATTTTATTCCCATATTCTGTAAAATATGACTCCGGTCATGCTAATCACAGCTAAGATTGGTCAAATCGCACATGATGGGACCCTTTATTTATGACTACTCTGCAGTCTCGAAAAGATCGAATTTCATCAAAAAAGAATGATTGGAGATTCATGAACATATTCGGTGTGTCACAGTTAATCCAAATGAATACCACAAGGGAGCATAGGGCTATATGCATGTCAAAGAAAAGTTTGTTTTATGCCCATGTTCTTTAAAATACGATCCCGAGCATGCTAATCACAGCTAATGTCACTTTGAAATTCATTATCTCTTTATTGATCCAATAAAGTGGTTGAGGCAAGATTCGTAGGAGAAGGCGCCACCATATTTGCATAACAAAATATTTATATTTATGCTTATATTGGCTGGGCACATTTATTATGACTTGTATAAAAGGAAAATATACAAGCTTTCCGCTTTGGTATATACTCCTTTGCTTTTCCACACCTTTTTAAATGGTTAAAAGGGAAAGAGAAAGAATTCCTAACTGGAGGTTTTATGTATTTCTCCACCCCAACAAGTAGTAGTCATAGATGTACTTTGAGTTTCTAATTAAACCTTGCCGAAATTAGAATAATCTAAGATTAAATGATTTTAGACACTCGCAAATGAGTAAACTCTGAAATAGGTTCCCTTGACTGGAGGATACCTGAGAAGATGTAGTACTTGATCAACGTTAAGGACAATGGATTTAGACACTTTAAGATGGCTTCAAGCTGAGCCTCATTATCTGAGCTTGTTTGGAAGAGAGATCAGCTACATGACAAGATATGAAGGAAGAATTTTGTGACAGGAGTTTCCATTTGGATCGTTTCTAGCTCAATGACATAAATGTCAGGTCCCAATTTGAGAAGTCTTCTGCAGTCACAAGAAATTCCATTTGGATCGTTTCTAGCTCAACGACACAAAAGTCAGGTCCCAAGTTGAGAAGTCTTTGGCAGCTCTTAAGCCATTCTTGCTGCTCTATGAGATATCATGCGACTGCGCGAAAGACCTTAAAAGGTCAAGCTTCCCAATTAGGTGGATCCTTTACTTTTCTCTTTGCTGATAAGGTCTTGCTGGTTCTGTACCAGTGACTAACAGGCAGTGAAGTAAGAATGGAGCAGCTATCAGTGTGAACACTTCATTATGTGTGTTCGATCTTTGTTTTCAGAGCTTCAAGTAGAAAAGACTGGTAACCTATATGGAATTCAAGGGAACTGAATTCTGATCTTTTTTCCCTTTTACCAACTTAGGGAACTCTCTTCCTGTCTTCCACTTATAGTCTCCCTCCTATCCACCTTAAGATGTCAAACAGGCTACAAGGAAGTATTCCCCGTCCTTTGAAAAATAATACTCCCATTTTCCCTTTATTCTTACCTTCAACTGAATCTTGAATTTCTGAATCTTCCTCAATCATATGCATGCTACTCCAGGACACAGCTCATCTTTTTCGAGTCTGTTTCTGATTCTTCCTACCTTGAATCTAGGTTTCCCCAGTACTAATACAAGGAAGGAGGATATTCAAAAAAATCAAACAAGACTTCCCACCTTCCAAAAAGATCTAAGACAAACCACTTTCCTGAATAAACATCCACTATAGGAACGAAAGATATAGTCTTTTGCTTGGTTTTAATATTCATCTGGTTACCCCAAGAAATGCTTATTCACTAACCAACAAAGACTGTTATTATTTAATAAGCCTATAAAAGGTGGAAAGCTAATCCCGTCTGTGAAAGGTTAGTCCAAGCCACAATGGTCAATTTTCCTAATATGACCACCAATAGGAATCTTAGTCTCTCGAAATTTAACTAAGAGATCGACCATGCATTTCTCCAGCTTCATATATTCTATAAAGCAATACTACAAACTTCCAATAGAAGCATTATTACTTGATACGGATCACTATCACAACTTCTGTCTCTTCTGCGTTCCTCCATGTGGATTTACCTTCATAATCACCCATAAAAGACTACCTTCAAGAGTTCAATCTGATTTGTTGTACAACACAACAAGGACCAATTGCATTGTTGCAATATTATCACCATCAGCGCTATAACTTCAATCATACATCGTTCTAGATGTAACTATATCGTCTCAAACCTAAGCTTCAAGCCCCTGATCCTGAATCTACCAATGTACCATTACTTTACGGGTAAAAGCTAGATACTCAAGACCAAATCTACATGGTCATGGTAAGGTTACAATAGTATTGCATCCTTTTTTCTGCTAATAGCAAAAGCAATAAGAAACTTCCTGAAGAGCTTTTTCTCCCAAATCTCTATTTGATTCAGAAAATAGCAATAAATATTTAATAATTGGGAGAAAGCAGCCACTATCATTTAATGCTTAATACCTTTTGAAATGTTTGAATTGGAAGTTATTCAACACAAAAAAACTAAGGGGGTAGTCACTGGTAAAGCTGGTATTACAAGGGAGTCAAATGCTCAATATTATGAAGAATTAACAAATTGTTCATGGCACTTCATCATTTTCAAAGATGATAGGTGGTCCCTCTCTCATCGCATGACTTTCTTTCTTAAATATAGCAACTAACTAAGTAGCAGCTTTCTCAAAATATCAACTTCTCCATCCCATGCTTATAGGAAGATAGTAATCAAACAATCTTCATTTGACTAAAAGGATTTGATGCAGAGCCTGATAGCAAGAGCAGCAGAGCGTTTGTTATTAGTTTCCCACTAAAACAGAGAAATGTTTAATTTGTCCTGGAAGGACTGATAACTAACAAGTACATTAGCAAAACCTAGTTATGGTAGACATATAATAATCCAAAATAAAAAGGATTTATTATTTGCTACACATTAAAAGTGAGCCAGTCCTCTTCGATATATGTGCATTTATCCTTCTAATGGATTTGTTCTTAATGCATGTTGAGTGAATTGTAAGAGAAAAATCAATCAACTGTCACATGTCCAACATTATCAATGCTAAAGACAAAAGATTCTATAAAGTAAATGTGAAATATATTCAAAGCCAAAATATAAACAAACCCGCATCAGAAGCTCCTGGCAAAGGAGGCAAAGCATTTGCAGGGGCACGAATATTTGGTTCCAGTTGTGTAGCTCCTCCAAAGTTTATACCAGTCTTGCCATCCTGAGAAGAATAAAACCTTTTCAATTATTTTCAACTAATTATTAAAAATCTTGCAAATGTTGAGGAAGGTAAACATACTCTTGCATTCCACTGTGGAGGAACAGTTGGAATTTGCTGCAATGGATAGCTGAAGGACATGAACATACATCATAGAAATTAGAAGATTCTGATACACAAACTTCAACAAGTAATGTTTCACATACAAAACATGCATGTATTATCAAGATAATGTGAAAAGTCTATCTCATATTACCGGCTAAGACAGTTGGTTCTAGTACTAGAATAAAGAGCATGTCTTGATAGCCAAGTTTTGCAAGAAACTCTTGGCATTTAATATATCAGAAGGTCATAATAGCAATACACAGATAGAACAAGAACGTGATTTTAGTCAATCTTCTTTTGTTGCCTTGGTGGCTTAAGACGATGACATCAGACCAAGGAGAACATAGCCTCAACTCAAGCACTCAACCTTTATCCTCGTTGAAGCGACTTGGCAGACATTGTAAAATAGATTAAAATATGGAAAAATGGTCAGTTTAGCAATAAACATAACATGCTATTACCCGGAATTGCTTGCAAATGGAAGCATGCCATCCATTTCACTCATCTCAAGAAACTGTGAGCTTGATGGCATGTCTCTTGGAGGAGATAAATTTGGTAATTCACAAATGGATGACAATAAATCTGAAATCTTAGCATCCATAAGATCAGGACTGCCGGATGCTATCAAATGAGGGGGCGGAATTATAGGAGAGGATGCCATCACATTAGAGATGTCTGCTCCTGTATGGTTAGAAGCATAGGATGGATTTGCAGGACCACTATTAGACACAATGCTCTTCACTGTCTGTGCAACCTGAGAATTTAGAAATCAAGCATTTAGTTAGCAAGAATTATTTCACATCAGTTAAACATGAACATGGTATAGAAAGTTCCACGGGTAACACCTTTTCAAAGGATTCGGTAGCTAGTACAGCAGCCTCAGGGAACCTAGAGCTGAAAGCTTCAAAAAACATATTCCACCACTCTTGCAGAAATCCTTCAGGAGAATTGATAGCTGAAACAATATCACAAAATCAAAAATTATTACTCCAAAGAACTGTATCACATTAACACATCACGTCAACTCCGTTATACATCTCTCCTCTCTCTCTAAATTACTGAAGGGCAGTTAATACAGTACTTTCAGTACTTTCAAAACACAGGTGGCTCGACTATAAGGCCAGTAAAGCAATCGTTGGGCCCCAACTTTTTTGGGGGCCCGTTTTTTCCTTAAAGATGTGTTGTATATGTATTATTAAAAACAATCTGTGTACATTTAAATTTAAAAAGAATTTTTGGAGCGAAAGTAAGATAACTTTAATATGAGGATCGTTGTAATAATTAGAGAATGAAATATTTTTTTATGAATTGTTTCTTTACATGGGTAGGGTAGTTATTTTTTTGCCTCATTTATATCCTAGCAATATGCGGGCCCACATTATTATTTATATACTTACATTTTTCATTCTCTCTTTTACTATTTTTATTCTCAATATTGAAAAGTCTCTCAATCGGCAACTTACCACGGTTTACAAGTTGTCTTCTTCAAAATATCAAGTATTACAACAACCAATCATTATATTGAAGCAACGCAACAGTTTTCGATATAATTATATCAACTTATCTTGTTCAATAGTTTCTTACTCTTTGATTTCTACTACTATCTATTATTTCTTGTGCTTCGATTATCTTATTTATATGTGATAGCTACTGCTCCTTTGTAGACTACTTTATCATGACTTATTCGCTTTCGTTACTTTCATTTTCATACTGCATTAAATTGATTGTCCTTATCTAACCTGTTTTTTGTCATGCTTTCTCTTGAGCTAAAGGTCTTTGGGAAACAACCTCTCTACCTCCCAAGATAGAGAAAAGTTCATCGTACACTCTACCTCCCCAGACCACACTTTGTGGGTTTTTACTGGATATGTTGTTGTATATCAACTTATCAAATTCTTGAGCCGATTTTATAATTCTACCTTTATTTTATATTTTTTCATTGAAAATTTGTCGTTGATATTCTTACTTAGGGCCTCTCTCTGAAATTTGGCTTTATACCCCCAATCTTGTTGAGACGACCCTGTTTCAAAAACATCCAACATCAGGTAATCAAATTGTACCACATGCATCAAAGAGAGCGACCTCAACTTATTATCAAAATTTTCAAGAACAACATGATCAGTAATCTACCTATGGTCATATATAAGAATTACTAAACTAGGCATGAGAATTTTACGACCCTCTCAGGTAAAGAACAATCGTTACTAGAGCACATATCTTAATTCATCATAGGATCAGCTTTTAGCATCTGATTAAAAGAATAGAATTCATTAAAAGGAGATACTTACCAACAGGAACTGGATTAGCAAGAATTTCTGTGGCGAATACCTCACGACTCTGGCGGAAACCTCTCTTAGTCATGTAATCAAGAATGACAAGTTCAAGTCTGAAAAACACAAACAAATAAAAGAAAAGCATGACAAAAAACAGTCAAACAAAGGGAAAAGAATCACATACACCAAAAATCAAAATAAAAGTAGACAAGCACAGAGTATCAATCATTAAAAATGTACGTATAAAATAACTGGTGAACACATAATAAACTTACGAGCGTCTTGCCTGCAAACTGGCCATGATCACCAGAAAACTTAATCACAGAAAAGAGAAGGGGAAAGATGAAGGGAAAGAGTCTCAAGAACCAAAATCTCAGTTGGATTACAGTAACAAGAATGCAGAGAGAGAGATGAAAGAGAGTTGGAAGGGAGAGAATGAGAGAGTTGAGGTGAGAATGAGGTGGTGGAAATGAAAGCTGGAAGCTTTGTAGCAAGTGAAGTAGCGAGTGAAAGTACCATGCAAAAATGAAAGGAAAAAAAAAAAAATATATATATATATATATGTATATGTAGTATATATATTGGGTTTTAAAAGGAAAAGAGGAGAGAGAGAAATGGTGGCCATTGGACAATGGTGAAAATGATTTGAGTGATAAGATTTTACCAGTAATTGTGAGATCTTTACGCAAATAAACAACCGAATTAATTCATTGTTTATTTTTTCTAGTCGTTATACATGAATTATACATCGATTATACATAATTACACACATAATATACATGAACTATACATATAAGTGAACAACTATTTATATTAATTCTTCATTGGAACAATGCGCAGAATTTGAAGCTCTGCTATTTCTCTTTTCATCCTTATTCCCCTTTTTCTCCCTTTTCTTTTTATTTTCTCCTCATTTTTATTTAACCCCTAACTCTTTGTTTACCCCTTTTTTTTTTCTTTTTGTTATTTTTGGTGAAAAGCCTCAATTTTTAAAAAAAAAAAAATTGTGATGCTGTGTCTCTCCTTTTCCTTGGGTGGAGGGGGAGGGAGAAAAAAAATTTAGTTAATCAAATTATGTAAGCACTAAAATTTTAATTTTCTTTAACAAATTCATTTACATTGTAAATAAATATAAAAGGATTCCCATTGAATCTTGTTCTTTTTCACTTTGTTATCCTTTGAGTATTTTACCTTTTTTTATAGTCCAGTATTTACTTAAATAATAAATAACAAAATAAAGAGGTATTAATGCATTTGAGGCAAAGTCAGAATAGAAGCCAATTCTAAGAAGGAAGCAGAAGAAGAAAATGAAATGAACTGTTTTTTAGGTGACAAACAGACAATAGTTTTTACTGCAATACTTAAACCTCCGAAGCTTCGAACCAAAAGAGGTGACGATAAAAGTTAGTGAACCTTCTTAAATTTGAGCTAATCGAAAGTTACTTTTTCACAATTGGACAATCACTCATTAATTTTGTGCAAGTCCCTTTTCGGTTTCTTAGCAATTTTTGCTCTGAATTCAACGCAAAGTTCTGAACCCACAAAGTCATCTCTCCACAAGACGGTTAAAACTCATAAATATCTCAACAAGAAACAACCCCCATCCCCTCTTTTTTTTTTTTTTTTTTAAAAAAATGACAGTATAATTTTTTTACATTGTCAATGCATAATACTTTGTATAGAGTATTTAAAATCTATTTTAGACTAAACGGCATGCTTAATGTGGCCTATTTACAAGTTATTATTAAAGAATTATGTTTTTTTTTTAAAGTGAGTTATCAATCAATTAAAAAAAAAAGTTTAAGGGTGTGATCTAATTTAGATACTTGTAATACTTGAGATTCTGTGAGTGAAGATAATAGAGATAAATTGATGCTAACTACCTGCCATTTTCGGAGGTCATACAGTTATTTATTTAATCCCATCATATTTATTCAGTTTGGAAAAGGATAATGGTATTAAATAAATTTATGCTTGACAAATTGTGACTGTTGATAGCATAGATTAAAGGCGTGATATAATTTACATCTTTATTGTAGTTGCTATCTACCATTTTCTAAGGTCATAAAGGTTTTTTTTTTAATCCCATCAATTAGTATTGACCATCAAATAGTTACCCAACAAAAAAAAGGAATAATATCACATGGCATTGAGATTGTGTGACTCTTATTACAATCTATATGCAACAAGTAAGATGATATATCATTGGTAAGAAATTAAACTATTGTTAACTAGATACCATTTTTATTTAAGTAATTGGATTGCCTACTAAATTTCATTAGAATAATTGATTTTTAACAGTAACTTAATAATTGGTAGAATTTTCATATGCAAATTACGAAATTCAAGAAGTTCAGTAGCTCAAATCATGTTAGGAAACCATTGGATATGGTGGAAGGTAATCCTTTCACCCTTAACTATATATGTTCTGAGCTCGAGTTAAATGGGTCTTACATAACGTGAATTTGAATAGTCGAAATAGTGAATTGTAATATTAAATAATTATTTTAAAAAACGTAGACAAATATGGTAAGTTAGTAAGATTATCTAAATATTAACATAATATTCTGTTTTAAGGAGCATCACTAATCCAAAACTTTTAATTAAGCTGAAGTCAAAAGATCAATGAGCAATATTCGATTTTTCAGATTTCTAGATTTATAGTACTCCAGTAAGTAATTTGTTGCAAGCATATCAAAAGGTAGGAAGGACAGGCAGCAAAAGTACATGTCATGACTCATGATCCAATTCTACAAAAGAATGTTCGGGTCAATTTTGACTTGAGAGTCGATATGGGTTTGAGTACGGGTCACAAAATTACCAAACCCGGCCCAGTTCGATACCACTTCTCCAAGAATACATGTGTCAGAAAAATCCTCTCTATTAATTTAGTTCTTTCTTGTTATGTTATGCTTTACTAAGAGAATTGAGAAACTATTCGTCCAAAATATAGGGTGAAGAATCAACCCATTTGGTTGCATCTCAGCCAATTTTTAACCAAATTTCTTTTATCTTTTATGGATCAGCTTGGGTTTAATATTTTGACCCATTCTTATATGTCACTCTTCTAACTTTCAACACATAGGACAAGTTACGTAAATTTGGACAAATGTTGATCTACTATAAGCTAACAGTGTATGAGTCGTTTATTCCCTTTACCTCACTTCGACGTTTTCACTCGAGGAGAACTATTTTTCGATAATGCGGTGCAGGACTAACTTGCACGTCCTCAATTATTTTATCTAGGGGTGTCAATAAATATTTAAATAAAAATCGACCGAACCGAATCATATCAAACCGATTATTAGATTTTTTTCGATAAAATAGTAGATTCATATATAAATCTATAATCATACCAAATAATAAGATCAGTTTTAAATTTTATAAAAATAAACCGAAAAAAACTCAATCATACCGAATAAATATAAAACATATATTTTATATATTACGTTTAAAACTAACAAAGCATTAAAAAAAATTGGGCCTTGGAATTATAAAAATGGCTACAAGTAGGGGTGTATATAGGTCGGATTGGTTCGGATTTTACAATTATCAAACCAAACTAATTGTGTCGGGTTATTAAATCTAAAAACTAAACCAAACCAATAAAACTTGGATTTTTCAATCTCGGATTTTCGGGTTTTTCGTTTTTTTTCCGGTAAAATCTTCGTAACACAAAACATATAACTTGTGCTCAAAATATTTCTTTAATCCTAGTAAGATACAACTATATAGGATATTTTTCAAGAAAATAATATAAAATATGAGATGTGTCATGATATTATCCTAAAATATTCAATAATAAAGACAATAAAATTATGTTATATAAATATTGCTAATTAAAAAGCCACAATAAAAATAAACATAATCTAAAAGTACTAAGTCATGCTAAATAAGTAGACTAATAAGGGAGTATTAATTACTACATGACTGAACGTTAAAGAAAAAATAAAAATAAGTTATGCGTTTTTATCTAAATTATTGCAAAATAAAAAATAGATATTCAATACATTGTCGTTCGTAGTATTGAATTAATTGTCTTTTGTTAGCATTAGTATTGATTTGATTTTGGTTTAGGCTTGCGTTAGCATTATTTAAGTTAACTAATATTAATGACTATAAAACCTATTGGAACATTCAAAAGTTCTAAGTTCAACCTTGAAATAATAACTTAAAAGATAAAATTATGAAAAAGTTTAAGAAATATTTATAAATTACATCACAATAAGTATATTTATATATTAAATATATCTAAAATTTATATATATGTAATGTCGGGTTGGTTTAGTTTCGGTTTGACTTTCTTTAGTTAAAACCAAACCAAACCAATTATGGTCAGGGTTTTTTCCCAGCACCAAACCAAATCATAGTTGGGTTTTTTTCTCGCTTTGACTCGGATTATTGGGTTGGTGCGGTTTGTCGGTTTCCTTTGTACACCCCTAGCTACAAGTAATTAACACCCAAAAATTCCAACTTTTAAATCTATTCTGATACGCTTATTGAAACTAAATTAGTTCCAACATTTTGAATAACAACTAGCAAGCCACAAGGTATTAGATATCTTTTCCCTCGTATGATTTAGATTTCTCTTGTTGGATGCTAATCTTGTAATAAACTCTATTTTTGAGTTACAACTTGATTACCATTTTTTAAATAGTAAAAATGTCTTTAGAGTTTTGCCAAAGTCCTATACAAGTACATATTTATGGCATTCTAACTTCTACTAGGGACTCTTACATGACATTTTAAAAAAAATACCGAAAAATTAATCGAACCATACCGATACCGAAGAAAAATCGAGATGATTGGGATGATTCTGAAAAGTCTAATTGTAACACCCCGTAAATTTGAATCAGTTGTGGATGCATTAAATGAGTATTAATATGATGGTTATTAATTGGTTGTGATAATAAGTGTACGAGGCATATCATAAGTGATTTGGGATCCAAGGAAAGACCTAAGTCTAAGCCAAGTTGAAAAATTACATGATAAACTAAAATTCTAAATGAGCACGCACAAGACTATATTTTGGACGAGCATATCTACATTTATACAAGGTATTATGTGATTCACAATCTATCAAATGAAAGATCTTTGAGTCTAGTTTCT